TTTTTATTTTTTGTCTTTGTTGTTCAATTTATATATTTATATAATATTAATACATGTTTTTCTGAAAGGATTTTTCTCCTCAAAACGTATTAATCTCTTTTTTGTGTGTTTTTCCAAGAAATCCAGACCCACCCGAATTCGGAATCTCCGTAGGAGAAGAAAGCGGAGGCAACTGAGTGACAGTAGTGAAGACGCCATGTCAGACTGGTCGGATATGTCTGATCTCAGCGAAGGTGGGTACACTACGTTGTTGCTTCAAGAATGTTAAACATTTCTTTGGTTTCGAAAAGCCTGTAAAACGGTTGTATAATAGATTTTCATGATTACGGTAAAGCTCATGGGAGTGTCTGAAAAGTGAATTCTAGCAGTAGGTTTGGGTTTTTTTTAATTTGTCTTTAAGGTTAGACTGGCATTTATTTTAAATTATTTTTAAAATGTTTTGCAAGTGTTATCAACTGTCTCAAATGAGAAAATGAAATATGTCATATTTTTTTCTGTTATAGATTGACACTGATCCTGACTGCAGTGGTTGCTTTCATAATATTTTCTGAGTTCGTTGTCAATATTCTTGGTGGTATAAGAAAAGTTTTGCTTACTGTTGTCAAGGCCAAGGAAAATCACTAATGAATTGTAAGTTTACCTGATGCAACAAATTCTGATGTTATAGTACAGAAGACTTACTTAGATCATCTTAAGCATTTTCTGCTCCTACAGGCCTGTCCTTCATAAGCTTTTAGCGTTATTTTTAGTATAGTTGTTCTGTGCCTACGTCTGAATGAAAATAGTCCGTGTGTGTGTGCATAAATATATATTGCATAAGAAGAAAGGAGGTAGTAAGAAAGGTTTTGAAAATGGGTATTCCAATGTAAAGTGCATTGAGTTACTTTTTTTGGAAATGCGCTTTATAAATGTTATATATTATTTAGATCACTGCTTCAAAGTCACCCCAACCTTTGCACTTCCAAAAAAGATACGAGTATTTCATAAATATTGGAGATTTTTAAAAATTGAAGCCCATCTTTGATCGTAAGGTCTTCTCAATTGACAGGAAAAGCAGAGGCGGAGGATCAGCTGGTCTCCAGTGAATCGGACGACGACGATCTGGCCAGTTACTTTGACCGCGGCTCTGATTCGGACCTCTCTGACACAGAGGAGTGCAGTCAGCCCACGGAGCCCAACAACACACGTCCTCAAGGTTGGTCTTATAGTACTGTAGCTTGGGAGACTTTGGGGGGGGGGGGGGGG